TCATTTAAGTAACATGATCCCATGTACACTATTACTTCATCAAAACACAATAAATACTCCAACTTAAAAATACATACCATCTAACCAAAGAGCTATGAAAAATATCCAAATGTTGTGTAAACAATATAACCAAAGCTTCAAATGAGTCCCAACCCATTCCTTTTACATAGACGAGATCCAAGAAGACACACAAAAGAACTTTGCTTTAGAACTCAGTTCGGCTCCATGTAACTGCAAGAAAGAAAGAATATAGCAACAAATTAATCAAAAAGGGCAAACAATTAAAAAACAATACATTGTTCTTTAAAGCTGTTCGAAACACAACTATACTCATTCAACGTTTTAAATTCAACTATACTCATTCAATGTATATAACAGCAGATTAATGTCATTTAAAGCACAAATTGAATCATACACAAGAATACAAACTCATAATTAAAACTTGATCGATTTTTAAAAATAAGATCAATTTCGTGTGAATGAAAAAATGTAGATATTTATAAAGTACCTTCGTCAAATAAGTCTAACACAGCTCTTTGGCCAAGCAACAGTACTTTCCATGGCTTCACTAAGAACTCGAAATTCATCTGTTGGTCTATATAAGGGCAATTGACTCATGTACACCTCCTCATCCCAAACCTTCCAACAATCTCGTCCTAATGGCATGTGATGCACCTTTACACTTGGGTCTATTGATGCAATCTTCTCTTCTCCTACAATTTCCTCCTCCTCAAACATATACCAGTGCAATAGTTGACACTTTGCATTTTCCACTGGTGCAATACCTCCTTCCATACCACTTCCTTATTGGGACTAGAAATTCGCAATAAAATAAAAATATTTTTAAATTTAGTATGATATAATCTGAATTTATATTGAAAAAATAATAAATAATATACGATACAAAAACCTGTGGAGTAAAAGCACGTGAACTCATGTTGTCCACATTCTTATTTTCATTCTATAAAATAATACAAAAATTTAAAACTTATTAAAATGTTAAGATATATTAAGCTACGCACAATGTCATATTATATGTAATAGAAAAGTATAACCTGAGATAAATTCAGAAGTGCTTCAACCTTTTCTTCGAGTGCTTCCATCTTTACTGACTTAGTTTGTAATTTGCTCTCAAGTTCTCTCACTTTCTCATTGCTTTGTGCATTTCTATCTACTTTTGATGGTGTAACCCCAAGTCCAAGTCCCTTTACTCGCCCACGACGCTCGGGACCTAAAATTCGAGCAACAACATCATCTCGAATAGAATTTTCGGCTGGTGTATCAGAAATTGACTCTACATAATCTTCTATCTTCCTCTGCACTTATGAAACTTAAATATTACACTAGAAGCAGATACACACACAAACCCCCCCCCCCCCCACCCACACACATACCAAAGTTTTGGCAACCACTTCATTTATTGGCTTTCCATCCTTTCGAAGATGTCCATGAGTCCATACTCTCGTTCTCAATCCTTTTATATTTGGATTCTTTCTTTTCTACAATAACAATATTTTCCCAATCACAGACACGTATAAAAAATCAATAAAGATACATAAAAAAAATATAAATAGTTAGTAATTGTACCAAATCGTGAGCCATGCGTGAATAACCCTTTCGACCTATAGTATGGAGAAGCTTCTGATTATTTCTCATTTGCTGAATTTAGAACTTCTTTCCTATTAAGGAAAAAAATATAAACCAACAATAATTGACTACAAAGTTTAAAGTCAATATGAAAATATAACTTACTTGAAAATCAATAGAAAGAGTATCTTCTACAAACTTTTCCCATTCTTCTTCAAAGTTTATATTTTTCGGTCTAACAAGAGCAATAGCGCGTTTTCTATTCATGGCGAATGGTACTTGACGTTTGATTTCTTTTCTCAATCTCGATTTGAATGTCCTCCAATATGTTCTCATACATTGAAATGTCATTTTTGATGGCAGTCACTGACATTGAATCTTTGCTATATTTATCACAAATATAAAAAATGGTGTCAAGCTTTGAACAAAAATGGCAGTGAAGCTTTGAACAAAACATGTATAACGAATAATATATGTACGTTTCATATTAAATAAATGTACCTATATAAAATTCCAAAGTTTGATTTTTATCTTGTCATCCACCAAAGGTCAATTTTTAATAAAAACGGGCACATATTCTCGTACTATGGCTCCGACAATGCTGACAGATTTAACAGAGTTACGGCCAACTACTTGCCCGAATTCATTGAATTCAAGCTCCATCTTCTGATAGTTATTTTCAGCAACCATTTTCAAATGAGTTGGACATCTTTTTTTTTTTTTGTTTTAAAAAGGTTGGGAATTTTTTTTTTTTTTTTTTTTTTCTTTTTTTTTGTAGCATCTACACTTCTTGAAGCCATGTTTTGATCACCAGTAATTGGAGTAGACAAGGTATATGTAGGTTCACTAGAAGGTCGTAATCTCTTATTTGTCTCCCGAATTGCAACAACAATTGCAACGCTTAGTCTTTCAGAACTCTTGGAAACTTGCTTATTTGACTTCAAGAATGCAACATGAAAACATGGCATAACGTTAATTATTTTCGAAAGTTACCATCTTAAAAAGTGTATTGAAATGCACTCACCTTAACTTTATCCATCATGCGTATATTTAATAATGTCACCTGGTTCCAAAAAAAATCTACTTGAGAAAGTACGAATATGCAAAAAATAAGAGAGAGAGAATGAGATTCAAAGTTCTACTACTTGTAATTTAAACAATTATATGTATAAAGACATTTACCAAACTAATCAATTTATATATCACATAATATGCCTTCAATGTATGCCTTCATTTATTCTGTATTGGAGGCATTTGGATTTGATCAGATCTGGATTGACAGAATCAGGCGGTGCGTTTCAGAGTGTCGTTTCTCTGTACTCCTAAATGGCCGCCCATGTGGTTTCTTTCCCTCCTCACGAGGACTCAGACAGGGTGATCCTATCTCCCCATCCTTGTTCATCATTGCAGCAGACTACTTCTCACGCTTGCTCACTCAGAGGTTTCAGCAGTATCCCAGTATGTGTTATCGACATGGAGGTAGTGCTCTTGTCTCACATCTCTCATTTGCTGATGATATGATCATCTTTGTCAACGGTCAGAAACAGTCTATCAGAAGGGTCTTAGATTGCTTGGAGCACTATGAAGGAGTTTCTGGCCAATTGGTGACTAGAGACAAGAGCGGTATTATACTATCCAGACGGGCATCCACTAGTCAGATCAGACGACTAGAGATTTTGACTGGCTTCAGACATCAGCAGCAGCCTTTCACTTACTTGGGTGTCCCCTTATTCAAGGGGACTAAGAGGAGCTTCCTTTATGATGACCTTATCCAGAAGATAAGGAATAGGATATCAGGTTGGGTCTCACGATTACTATCGCCTGGGGGTCGTATTACATTACTGAGGTCAGTACTTTCTTCCATACCTTTACATCTTCTTCAGATTATGCAGCCGCCCAAGGCAGTGCTGAAGAAACTTGAGAGCATCTTTGCCCGATTTCTATGGGATTCTAAGGATCAAGCACGACGTCTACATTGGAGGAGTTGGAAGGCGATTTGCCTTCCTACTGATGAGGGAGGCCTAGGCTTTAGGAGATTACAGGATGTGGTGGACACCTTCTCCATGAAGCTCTGGTGGCTGTTCCGATCTCAGAGGTCACTTTGGGCTCAGTTTTTACTGGGCAAGTATTGTAAGGGGACGCATCCTTTACTTGTAGCAATTCCCAGTTCAGCTTCCCCTACCTGGAAGAGGCTGAAATCAGTTGGACCACGGACGGATCCACACATTGCTTGCCACCTTGGAACCGGTCAGATTTTCTTCTGGCATGATTGTTGGATGAGCGAGTCCACCTTGGCATCCCTATTCCCCCACAGACAGCACACATCTGCGAGGGTACAGGATTTTTTTGACGACACTGGGTGGGATTTTGGACGGTTATTACAGGCCCTTCCTTCTCACATGGCGGAACAGGTAGGGGCGATACCTTTATGTGCAGATGCCACGGACCGAATTGTTTGGAAAATTACTTCGGATGGTGACTTTACCACCAAATCAGCATGGCAACTAGTCCGTTCGGTTTGCCAGCCTCAGGACTCATATCGACTGCTGTGGAGCTCTATCTTGCCTGCCACTATTTCATTCTTCTGCTGGAGACTGTGGCAGGATCTCATTCCAGTAGATCTTGTTATTCAGAGGAGAATTGGATGTCAGTTGGCTTCTCGTTGTCAGTGTTGTTCCGAGATTGAGACCATCAATCATATTTTCACGAGCAGCAGCATCTCCGACCAAGTATGGCATCACTTTGGAGACATTTTTCAGATACCTATGACTTCAGGAGAGGGGGTCAGACAGAGGTTCCAGGGATGGCGGTATTCTGGACAGCACGTTTACCGTGGACACATTCGTATTATCATTCCTTTACTGATATTTTGGTTTCTATGGACTGAGAGGAATGATGCGAAGCATAGAGGTATTCGTATGGTGGCCAGACGTATTATTTAGAGGGTCTACCGCATGATCTCCTTTCTTTATATGGGAGGACTATTCCGAGTTGAGCATTGGCGAGGAGATGTGACACTTGCACCTTTTTTTGGCATTTCTTTGACCCGTCTTCTCCCACCACCACCTATTATGGTTGTTTGGCGCACTCCGCCAGTTGGATCCTATAAGATCAACACTGATGGATGCGTCAAATATGGATTTGCAAGTGGTGGAGGCATCATTAGGGACCACGCAGGATACTGTATCAGGGCATTCTCAGCATCATATGGCCCATGTTTCATTTTTGAGGCTGAACTCAGAGCCATACTAGATGGGCTTCTATTGGCCAGAGGACTTGGGATTTCAGCTAACTGGCTCGAGGCAGATTCAACATTGGCTATTCACTGCATTACCAAAGGTGGAGGACCATGGTCGATTCAAGGTATTCTTAGACAGATCAGAGATCTCATCTACTTCGATAGAGACACAGTTTCACACATCTACAGAGAAGGCAACCAGGTTGCTGATTCTCTTGCTACAGAAGGCTGGAATCATCGGCGCTATCTAGAGTATGGACCACTAGAATTGCCTCGACATATTAGGGCGATAGTGCGGATCGACAGACATGGATTGCCCAGTTTCAGAGGTTTGTAATTTAGGCTATTCTTTATTGTATAGGGAAGTAGTACTTCCTCATTTATTGCTTTCATTTATTATATTCATTTGTTGCATCACTGCTTTTTGGAGGTCAGGTTCATGCCCCCCTCCTTCCGTGTATTCTTGATTTTTATGAAATAAATATGGTTGGGGAACCCTTAACCCCCATCGACCTTCCTTGGTGGACCCTAAAAAGTCACTAAGGATGTGTGGATGTCTTTACCAAAAAAAAAAAAAAAAAAAACATCTATCCTTGCAAAATTCTCATCCTTCTCATGATTGTCTTCAAGTTGTGTTACATCCAATGGAATAGTTGCCCCATAAGAAGTATCTTCTTCCATATGTAACACGTGAAAGTCTCTTGGTGATGCTTGCAAAACAACATACCAATTAGATGTTTCATTCTCCTCCCTAGAATAAAAAACTTGTTTCGCCTGGGATGCCAAAATAAAAGGATCATTTTCAAATTGACCCTGTCCTTGATGAAGGTTAACCAAAGTGAATCCATCTTCCTTCTTTATTCCATTCACAATATTTGCCCAATCACACCAGAATATTGGAATATGAAATGTATTGTAGTCAAGCACTATAATATCGCGCAAAACTCCATAATAAAGAACTTTATCAACAACATGTGCATTATCTTTTGCACTAGATCTACATATAGTTGTTGCTTCAACTAAGATGCCACTGTTTTGGCGAGAGTTTTCAGCATCTTTAGTGTGAAATCGAAATTCAATTATTACAAAACTGGAATATGTCATGGACTGACATCTAGGGCCATGTGCAAGTCACTTTAAAGTATTCCAAACATTGTCCAGCAACAATTGGCCTGCAATCTGTTATTATTATAAACACGTTAGGAATGAGAGAATGAATAACAGAATTAAACACTAATCTTGTCGATATATGTACTTCGAGCTTATTGTGCAACCAGGTAGCAAACGTGTCAACATGTTTCTTATGCAACAAATTCTCATTTATTCCAAGTCGTTTGTCAGAACTCTTGAGTTCATCCATATGCATCCTAAGTAAAAAAACAATATATCAAGAAATCCCAAAGAACTTAAAATCTCAAAAGATATATACTTCACGAACATACTGTACGTATGGAGCCACTTCTACATTATTTAGCAATACATAGCGATGGGCAACGTTCAACATCTCATCAGATAGTACAAGTGGCTTCCCTTTAGAAATTGGACGCCTGCAACTAAGAAGTCACTTTCATACTCTTCATTGCGTGCAGTCCGAGAGCCGATTTCAGATGTTTGTTTTATGTATTTGCTACAAAACATCGCATTTTCTTCAAAAATATATCGTTCAGCTATGGACCCTTTAGGTCTTGCACGATTCATAACATATTCTTTCAACACTTTCATATACCTACACATTTTCCAAAAACGTAATAAAATAGAAATCAATTTGATACTGGATTTAATTTCTGGGAATAAGAAGTACTACCTCTCAAATGGGTACATCCAACGATATTGAACTGGTCCACATAGACGAACTTCTCTTCCAATATGAATTTTTAAATGAACCATTATATTGAAAAAGGAAGGCGGAAAATACCTTTCCAACATGCACAAAGTTTCAGAAACATCCTCTTCTAAAATTTCAACCTTATTCCTATCTATAACTCCTTGACATATTTCATTAAAAAATGAACACAATTTAAAAATGAAGTTCCTTGGTCCTTTAGGAAGAAGTCCTCTCAATGCAACTGATAGTAATTGTTGCATTAAAAGGTGACAATAATGAGATTTCAGTCTAACTATCTTACATTCTTCCACTGAAATGCAATTTGCCATATTTGAACCATAACTATTAGGTAATCTCAAGGTAGCAAGCCTTTTGCAAAACATTTGTTTTTCTGCTTTTGATAAAGTGTGAGGAGCTACAGGTAAGTAAAATTTATTTTCTCTACTCTCAGAATGTAGATCATGCCTAATATTCATAGCTTTTAAGTCCTTATGATAGTTAATGCTATCTTTCGATTTTCCTTTCACATTCAAAAGTGTATTAATGATGCTCTCACAAATATTCTTTTCCACGTGCATCACATCCAAATTATGACGTATAAGCAAAGTCTGCAAATCAAACATCACTTGTGTCATGAGATACTACACGCAATTAGATGTATTAAAAAAAGGAAATGACATAACTAGAGTTACCTTCCAATATGGTAGCCTGCAAAATATTGACTTTTTCTTCCACGTTACATTGGATTGAGTCGTATTCTTCTTTCTCTTTCGCTTACCACTTTTGCTCCAATCATTTACAATTTTATCAACTTCACTGGAATTTTCTTCACCAGTTTTTATCTTTGGCGAAATGCCATTTTCAATATGTCCATCAAACCAGCTTCTTTTCATGCGAAATAGATGACTCAATGCAAGAAATCTTCTATGTCCCATGTATGCTAACTTCCTACAATGTGACAACCATACTGAACATGTATGTTCACGACAAATAGGACATGCATTTTTTCCTTTGACGGGCCATCCAGATACATTTCCGTATGCAGGGAAGTCATGTATTGTCCACATCAAAATAGCTTATAGTTAAATGTAGACTTCACAACTGCATCATACATCTCAACCCCATCACTCCATAACAATATTAAATCGTCTATAAGTGGTGCCAAATAAACATCTATGTCATTACCTGGCTGCTTTGGTCCCGGGATTAATAAATTCAACATCAAACTTTCATTCGACATGCATGATGATGGAGGCAAGTTGTATATAGTTAAAATAACTGGCCAACAACTATATTTAGAGCTAAGATCTTTGAAAGGATTGAATCCATCGGTGGCAAGACCTAATCTAATATTTCGAGGATATGACACAAAATGTGGATACTTTCTGTTTATCATTTCCCACCCCAATGAATCAACTGGATGCCTCATTTTACCATTTGAACTCTTATTATTTGAGTGTCATCTAAGTTGTTTTGCCATCTTTTCTATTCCAAACATCCTCTTAAGTCTTGGTATGATAGGGAAATAACGCAAGACTTTTGCTGGAATGTTTTTTCTAAATTTTTTAGTTTGTTGGTTAACTTTCCATCTTGAGCAACCACATTTTGGATATAATTCAGCATGTTCAAGCTCCTTCCTATATAGATAAAAATCATTCAAGCAAGCGTGTATCATTTCTTAACCAAGATTAAATGTATTCACAAGTTTTTTGATCTTATAAATGAGTTAGGAAGTGTATTATTTTGTGGTAGCATGTCCCGCACAAGATTTATGAGTTCATCGAAACCATTATCTGATAAACCATGTGTAGCTTTATGTTTAAACATAGCAACTGAAGCTAATATCTTCGTAAACGCCATACAACCAGGATACAAAGGGGTTTCCGCATTGCTAACTAAACGTTGAATGTCTTCTTCTATTCCATCATGAGGATTTTCAGAATCTACATCATGTTGCGTATAAAAGTCCCTAAACATCCTACATGACTCGGGCATTTCCACGTTGACCAAATTTGATTTACTTGGCATTTCTCCATGAAATATCCAATCAGTGTATGTAGGATCCATACCCTTAATAATTTAATGTTCATACACTATTTCATAATTGTGATGCTTTAGATTCCTACACTTGATAAAAGGACATACTATCATTTCTGACTTTAGAGTTTCACGAGCTAGTTCTACAAACTTTCGTGCTCCATCTCTGTATTGTTCTGAAAATCTACAACAACAATACTATTAAGAATTTTATATTATTGTTTAAATTTTGAAACTAGATTTATAAGATTTTATTTCAGACAGTGACCTTGATAATTGCAGTCATTTTTTGTCCATTATGATACTATCAAACATTGAACAACAACAATTCAAATTGTGAACTAAACTTGGTAATTTTCAACATAAGCAAATGTGTGAGAGCATAATATTCATATTGAAAGGAAAGTAGATTAGAGTAAGTCTCCTGAATGTTATACCTGGTACTCTGCTTCGACGAGAACGCAGTCTAATGAATAAGATTGTTGGAAGCAAGCTGTAATTTTACTCTACAAAGCAGGATGTCAAGCACGTCTGCGAAAATCAGGGGCAGAGCCAAGAATTATTGTTACGGTGGGTTAAAAATTTTAAAAGTTTAATGTACGACTAAAATTTATATATAATAAGAGAGATTCATTTGATACGAGTAAAATCACCTTATTTATTGAAAATTTAAGTCCATACCTATCTCATTAAGGATGATTTAAATTCTAAAAGACTAAGGAAGGATAAGTAAGCTGAATTAATTTAATCCAAATATTATTTTTACGAGACCATTTAATAGATAACATTTTAAGTTTCTTTTCTTTTTCTTTTCTTTTTTTTTTTTATAAAATTTGATACAGCAAAATACTATTTAATCTACCTTATCAAACATAAAAGAATTTAAATCAAGAAATAATTAACTTGTGCTACATATTGATTTTTTTGTTATCAGGTGATAGACTAAAGATGAGTGAAACAATGGAAGAAGGTAGAAGTGAATATCAAAGACCATATGTACAAACCTATTTTTCCAGAAGGGAAATCTGTAGAATTCTATGATAATTTTTTTAATCAATATTTATCGAAGTTAGCAATGGATCAGCTTCCAAAAAGCAGGCCATTATGGGAAATTCACATAATCAAATACCCTACAAAAAATTCAGCTGGAAATATTGTTTTTAAGCTGCAACATGCATTGGGAGATGGTTTTTCTCTAATGGGAGCTCTTCTTTCTTGCTTGCAAAGAGTAGAAAATCATCAACTGCCCTTAACATTTACTGCACTGATGAATGAGAATATGAATATTGATGATGATCACAAGGGCATTTTCAAGAATGTGACTAGTATTTTTAACACTGTATCAGATTTCGGATGGAGCCTATTGAAGAGCAGTGTTATTGAAGACGATAAGTCCCCAATAAGGTCCGGTGATGTTAGAGTCGAGTTTCGGCCAATCACCATTACCACCATGACTTTCTCTCTCAATCAAATTAAGAAAATGAAGGAAATTCTTGAAGTGGTAAGACTATACTTTTTTTTTGTCTTTTTATCAAGTAACCATAGGTTAAATGCACTCTAGAGAAAAACAAGTTTCTTACCCTTCCTCGAAACTTAATTATCCTTGAGCATTCTTTGATTTATGATTGATATACATTCGATGTATATTCTTGATAATACTTGAAAATGAAGTCCGACAATTTATAATTTATTTTTGCACGTACCGATAATAACTTAAGAATAATGCTATTCCATATCATTGATGTCAAATACTATATATAAAAAGTTGTTTTCAAATGTTTTAACAAATGCTTACTTCAAGTCCCTTGAAAGAATCAAATAGATGGCTCACAAAAAACCAGATAACTTACAGTAATGTCATCGAGTCTAACATGTTTCAAACACCTAGACACTATCAAAGATATTCGAAGTAAAATAAACAAAAGAAACTAACCAAATTCAGTTCATAGAGCCAATCACTTCATTAACATGAACAAAGAACAGTAAATACAATCCAATTAGCCAACTCTTCATAACACTGATCCAAAGAAGAAGAAGAAAAAAACCTTAATTACCAAAAGAGGAATGAACAAATTTTCTTGCATTCTAGTTCACGCCCAATTCACTTTTCTTTTCCACTACAATGCAATCCATGACAAAACCAGGAGCTCGACAAAAATTAAAATCAGTATGCTGAAAAAATTGAAATTGGAGGCTGAAATTGAAATCAAAATCACCTTCTTCGTTCTTCTGCTTCTTCAGTTCTTCTTCTTTCGTTGGGCTGGCAGGCGACAGCTGGCAGGAGACGGTGGTTCGATGTTAAAGTTGTGGTGGGAGAAGATTGGGGTTTGGACATTGGGTATACACTTACTAGGTCGGAGATTAGAGCCCCTAATCTAGGAGAAGTCGGCTGCCGGTGGACTGGAACTAGAAGCCGACGATTGCGAGAGAAGTAGGGCGAGAGTCGAGAGACGTGATACATTGCAATTGTTTGGTTTTAATTTCAATGAAACCTGGTTTAATTGGATCAACATTCCGGGTCCGGGCCAGTAAACGGGTTAAGGGCTGTGCAATTGGGCTTCCATCTGGGTTAGATTGAACCGGGCTTTAAAAAAATAAATAAATTTGGGCCTATTGGAGCCCAAAAGTTCAGTGACACTAATCAATGAAAACGTTCATTAAACATTGCCAAAACTAATCAACGGCAACGTTAAATGAACGTTGCTAAAACATATACAGCAACGTGCATCGCCCATTGCAAAAACCTTTTAACAACAACATTTACCGAACGTTGCTAAAATTGATTAACAGCAACGTTCGGGTGAGCGTCGCTAAAACATGTAACAGCAACGTGTATTGTCCATTGCTAAAACTAATTAACGGCAAAGTTCTTTAAACGTTGCTAAAACATTTACAGCAACAGTCAATGCACGTTACCAAAAAAAAAAAAAACCAACAACGGTCTTTGAACGTTGCGAAAGGGGGTATTAGCAACAACCACTCAAAGAACGTTGCTAAATCTTAATTTTCTTTACCAATGACAACATGCATTTGCTGAATGTTACAATAAACCTCTTTTAATAACATATAATTGGTGAATGTTGCCATTTAAATGTTGTAAAAGGCCATTTTTCTTGTAGTGAAATTATGACTGTAATATTTTTTTTTCCATTGATTAAAAACTTCATATCACTCGTCAAAACAAGGAAATAAGATCTTCCGCTCACCTTTTATCAGATGAGAACCCAATGCACAAATCTTAAAACTTTTGAAGCTAGAACATTTGTTGACTTTTGTGTACAAATTTAAACGATGGTACACAAAATAGATGCTCAAGTTAATGCGACGTGATTTAACTTAAAACATACGCTATTCTTTGGTGAACAATGCCTGACAAGTTAGGAACTGGCTATGTAGCGAGGCAGGTCTCCTGGCTGCAGGTGGATCTACACATTTATTAGAAAGATAAGAGAGAAAAATCACAAAAATATGAGCTATAGGGTTAACATATTTTTTCTAGTTTTATGGCAGGATAAACCTTGGGTTAGATGGTCTTAAGGAGTAATATCTGTATTAAAATTAAGCCCTATGTCACTTCCCAACTGAAGATTGATGAATGATGCCCTAGTACAGAGAGAAAAAATCTATAAAGATACAAATACTCAATATCTAAACATTCGTGGTCTCCTCATTTTTGTGCAGAATTCTATGGGCTCTTAAGGGACATTTGAATGACTGATTTCAGGTTTGGTTCATGCCCAGAAAATACGTATCCAAATATTTTTCATGCAAAACTCTACCTGTTTCATAAAATAATTCATCGATAATGGTAGCAGTCTTTGCAGATGTCTCCATGAAGAAAAGGCTGCTCTCCTGTTCGTCAATCTTGCTAGTGTACACAACCATGTACTTAAGGGTGTACCTAATTGACACCCGGCACCTCGACATTGGTCGAGGCGCCTGCCTTGTCGGGCCCACAAGCGCCTCGACCAATACCGAGGCGTCGGGGTGTACATTAGGTACACCCTTAGGTACACAGTTGTGTACTTTTAGCATAATTCCCTGTGCGTATGCTTGTGCTTTCTGGGGGAAAGAAAAGGAAACGAAAGAGTGCGTGTGAGTAGTAAAAGGTGTTTTGAACATGATGTGTGCGAAAATCAATGATCCGAGTGGATGAAATGCATTCTCCAGAGACACATACTAATCATTCCAACTTCTATTTGTTTATCAATCAATTATGGAATATGCTCAGAGATAGCTTTTCTTAGATTGATTTTTCCAGATGAAAAATGAATGTGAATACATAGCATCAAACAAAATTAATCCGGCTTCTAGAAGAAAATAGGGTATACTTGCCTCCTTTGCCACCTTTCTTGCATCTAACAAATCAGCCTTACTCCCAACAAGAGACATAAACCATATTTGGATTACCTTATGCCACACCACAGAATCAAGTAAAGGCAATTAGAACACTTATACTCTTCACGATTATATGGAAATTTCAGATTTATAACCCGTTCATGTGTATTCTCTCCGGATTCCATGAGAACACCTTCACAACTTTATTTTACATACTAAGAAGTTCGCGTCGGTTGTGCTCGCTTTATTATTAAATCAAGCTCGTGCAATCACATGTATAATTTTTTATAGTGCTATTTATAAGTTGTGAATTCTAAGTAGTGTAAATGAACTATGAGTTAAAAGTATACTCGATCGTTTTAAAAATTTAAGCTTTGCCAAACTATCTCATATGTTATTTAAAGGTTATATTATTTGATTTTGAATCCACTGGAATTTAGAGGGTGTTTGATGAGTATTAAAATTAAAAATTTTGGTAGATTGTGATAGAATTTTTTGAAATTTGTGGTTGAAAAATTGTGAGACCCATAAAAAATGTGATTAATATTAATTATTTAACTTTGACTCAAATTAAAATTAGATTTTAATTCAAACGAAATACCTCTTTTCACTTAACTTTGCAATTGGAGATTCCTGATCTAGTGGTGCACGTAAATCAGTTGAAGAAATCTGGGACCCAGTAACGTATGGCAAAGTTAAGTCCTGGGTTTTGACTGGGGTAGGGGTCCCAGAATACTGAGGTGGATGATATTTTCTTATAATATTTTATTGGGAAATTTACCAAAATGTTACTTTTTTTTGAAAATGCACAAAATACTTTGATGTGCACATAATTTGTACGAAAATATCACTTTCTTGTTGTGAAATGTCTAAATTACCCTTAATTTGACCTTCTTTGGAGCACTTAATGCTCCTTCATGATTGTTTTTTAAAACAATTAATGTTGTGATTTGATTGTTTAATTTGTATATTATAATCATTGAATATATGAATATTATATTATAAAATATGAATTTAGTTAATAAAAAATAAATATAAAATCCTTCAAAACCCTAGTTAACATAAAAAAAAAAAAATTCTTGTTAAATAAACCCTTATTTCATTCATCTTCTTCATCCATTTTCTTCTTGATCAAAAAGATATTACTTCATCTATCTTGAAAGGTCAGTTATTACGAATTGTTTATGTTTTTATGTAATAACTTACTCTTTTTAAAATGTTAAAAATAACATGATAATCACTACTTTTAATCATCATGGTCTTTTTTTTAATATTTTTGACGGAAAAATATATCAAAAATATTTAAGAAAATGTGAAGTATTTCATATTTAATGAAGCATTTAGTCATTTATTTCTGAAAATAGGTTGTGATGTTGTCGTTGTTGTAGTCGAGAAATGATTATAACCATTAATACTACCAAACACATTTGAAGTTTCTCGACAGTTCCGACAGTTGAACTGTCACACTCGACATTTCGAAACTGTCGGGATCGACATTTGAACTATCAAACCCGACATTTATAAACTGTCGGGGATAGATAACTAAATTGTCTTATTGGACAGCTGAAAATTCTTGACACCCTTCATTTGACCTTATACTATTGCATATGTTTAAATATTCGAACGTGTCACTTTCATGCTATTATATAATCGACATATTGATTGCGCATAAATCTTATTGTTGCAATCCCAACATTTTAGATATGAACAATAATTTGAGTTTCATCGTGTCGCACGGGGAAAAGTTCGTTTACGTGAATGACGAATGGAAGTGGATTGGGGACAAAACCACTTCTATTTTAGTGTCAAGCACTACCGGGGCTATTGTTAGAGTTGAACGAGAAACTTGATGTTCTCGATCCGTGCACAAAAATGGAATTGAAATTCAAAGTTCCGAACATGAATATACCGCCGGTCGAAATACCCGAAGATGAAGACGTAAATTGGTATATATCAGCTCGTAAGGAAACTGCCCTCTGCATTGCGACTTTGGAAACCGGCCTGCCAAGTGTTGAAATGGAGAGGGATACAAATTATAGCCAACAATTGTTCGCCTCAGCGGAAGATCACCATCCCGTACAGGACGACGAGCTCAATCATCTGCACAGTATCCCAATCAATAATGCAGCGGATACTTCAATTTTCGATGTTAGGACTGCACCATTAGATGAGATGTTCGACGACCCCTTACATGGTACAAATGCTGGTAATATTACTGACGTTGACGGAGAATTATTATCACATTCCAAAAGTCCAGATACATGCGACTGAATTTTCACTGTGAATACGTCAGATCTTACCGAAAGGCAAATATTTTTTACCAAAAAAGAGTTATACTCGAGAATTCGTCTACTTGCTTTGCGAGAGAAGTTTCAATTTCAAGTTAGTAGGTAAAGCCTAAAAATGTTAACCGTTGTATGCGCGGACGATAATTGCAAGTGGATGTTACGTGCTTCGAGTGTTAAACAGTCCGCCATCTTCATGATCCGCAAATTCAACAATGTGCACACATGTTCCATAGATTATTGTCGTAATGTACATCGATATGCCACTAGTTCCGTTATTGCCAAGCAGATTATGGGGAAATTGGATAATATGTATAGATCGTATGATCCTACCGCTATTGCACGTGACATGGAACGTAAGTTTGGTGTGAAAATTAGTTACTATCAAGCACGTAGGGGAAAGGTCGCTACTTTACATATGCTATATGGTACACCGGGTGATAGTTTTCAAAAACTTTCTTCCTACTGTCACGTCCTAGGAGAGAGATGCAAGCATTCAGGGTTACATGCACTACCTGAGGCCTGTTATTTGTGTTGACGGCAGTCACTTGAAAGGTCCATACAAAGGTATCCTTCTACTGACAACTGCCTAAGACGCCAACAAAATGATTTATTCATTAACATGGGAGATCGTTGATGCCGAAACGAATAGATCGTGGATGTGGTTTTTATCAAATTTGAAAGATCTTATAGGTGACTCGGACGAATTGGTGTTTGTTTCCGACAGGAAAAATAGTATTAAAAATGCCATTGCCCACCTATTTCCTCGGACTCACCACGGGTGCTGTGTCTGGTATATGGAAAAGAATTTA